TCAAAGAGACGTATATATATATATATATATATATATATATATATATTCAATAAAATAATTTTGCATGAATTATCTCAACTTAAACCGTCATTAACTAGTGACGTAAATTTATAATTCACTTATTTTTCGGCTGTTAAACCCCAACGTGCTGTGAACCATAGTATTCCAGAAATCATATGAAAAATTTTTAGTCAAATTTACTATTGGCATCTATCAGTTGATTATGTCTGCTATTTCGACTTGCAGGTGCAATGTGGTCTGACCTATTTAAGGTTGCCTACTATACTTTGAAATGTTGACAAAGGATTTCTTCTATCCACCTATATTTGTGCATTTTGGGCTCATTTTGAAGTGCCAAATGAATAAATAAATTGATTTTGATGGTTTATTAAAACTGTGGTTAGCTCCAGTTTCGAAACTTAAAGAGGCATAAAATTTTTAACCCTAAAAGGCATGTGCTTTCTGCGTAAAGTTGATTTTAGAAGGTCAACAGTTAGCGGCAACTGTCAATTAGATGCTCTACAAATGTGGGGGTAAATATGCCCTAATTCGCGACTAATACAATGCCAATTAGTGATTCAACTGATTACCCCCTGAATGCACACTGTATAATAACTCGGAGATAAACTGAAATGACTTTTGATTGCTTCTAAACTACTTTAACTGTAGCAAATGATCCTTGTTTACCATTGAAATGGAAAAATGACAAAGCGGATTGCTTGATTGATCCTCCTCATATAATCTTGTTTTAATTTGGTTTGTTATAGGTCTCTTCGTCTACACCACATCAATACACGCTATGCCATGCTTTCGAGACTATATTTGCAATCGAGATGCCACAAGAATACAATACTTTCTTACTTTCCGGATATTCACCGTCACTGGTACTTTTAAATCAATTAAATAATTTTATTAATTAAATGTGCAAATGATCGTGCTTACCCCAGTCCCACATTATGGCATTTAGTTAAACTACCTACACATGTATCATTGTTTTGAAGCGCCCATAGAGCATTATGGACAATGTCCTGCCGGTAACGTCTCCATTGCGTGGATGCTCGAAGGAACACGAATTGAAATCGTAAAGCACAACGGTTCTTTGCTGCCTTTACATCAATCTGGATCACCAGCCTTATATTAGAAACGCTGGTTCGGGAACTTTACAGCAACCCCATAACTACACACGTTCTCGAAAATTGTGAAGTATGAATAAGAGGTCAGTTTTCACCCACTCTGCTGGCCAACTGGAAGTTTTACTGAAATAACTTTTGGAAGAATGGAGTATATGGGGTGTCAAGCATTTTCCCTTGAAACTAATTTCTTGAATTATTTCACCCATAGAGAGTGTGTGTATATATACCGACAATAAGGCCTAAAATATGAACTATCGATTCTGAACTGAAGAATCGAGCTTCACAAATGTACCCATGCAAAGCTATTTCATCTGTATGCTTTGTTTTTGTTCAGGTTTTCCGTTGTTGGTTGCATCAGTGCTTTCTCAATTATCTTGACTGGCCAGAAATACAAGATTTCTTCCTTATCACTCTTCTCTGCGGTCCTGAATTTATCATTTACTTTGCTGTAGCAATAATGTCGCAGTTATCCTCACTTTTGCGAAGTTCCCTTCAATCTCAAACCCATCTTGTTACCACTTTGGTAAGTAATAAACGCATTTGAAGTAATGTTAGCAAATGCTTCAGTTCTAAATTATTTTTTCCCGTTTCACTAGGAAAAATCGATTAATAACTTTCGGATGGTAGAACACTTAGGATTTCTGGAATCTTTAGCCTCGAGATATAAGGAGCCAGTATCCGGTGAATTGTCATCTGCATCATTTGTGGGGTGAAATGTACTTTTATCAATGTTTCAAATCTGTGATTACTTCTCTTCAATAACAATTTTGACTATCTTTTGTTCTATAAAAGCCATCTATTTAATAAATACTGCTAAGTAATTCGGATATTCTTTGATGATAACTGAACTTAATGTTAGCTAAATAAGACCGTTAATTCCGTGAATTCGTTATAGGTGACATAAGCTGTCTTCCTATTGGCTTAGCCCTTACAAATAAAATTGGTTGCTATTGTAAGTGATATTCATGAGCATAGGTACATAGCCGTAACAGTGTGCTTGACACATTAAACGATGCCACCTCATTGTCTGGTTTTCATGCTTTCAACTGTCGTATTCACCGCTTTCTTGTTGGAATGTTTTGCCGATGCTCCAATAACATGGCCAGATTCAAGGCTCATGAGAGCCACTCTAGATCCCTATGATAGAAGGGAAGTTAGTTTTAAATGGCCAATTTCGGAATATTTTCCATTTGATTCGCTGAAGTGGTTCGGAGTGACTGTAACGAGAGCGGGAAGTAAGGAAGAATCGAACCCACGTATCACAAGAGAAATGTTTTATATCGAACTTGATGAATGGAACACAGAGTATAACATTGCTTACAACGCAGAGACGGAATTTTTTACCTGGAATAAACGTGCTAACATCAAGATTACGACTGGTGGTGCGTTTAAATTATGATCTATATCAATTCTTTTCTTGGTCTTTAGGTGACAAGCAAATTGGAGAGGAGCATTCTAGGTAAGTCGAACACTTCTTCTTTATTTTACCTTTGAGAGTTAAATAATGAACTGGGGCATAGTAAGAGGGGGCCGAGGAAATAAGAGGGTTGGGAGAGGAAATAACATTGAGGTGTATAAATTTCTTGTAAATGCGTATCTCTGCCAGATGTAAGAGATCAGTGCTCCTCAGCGCACATCCAATGGTGTGGATAGTCAAGCTTAAGAGTAGTTATTTGGGCTCTCATCAGTGCAACCCCGGGATATCTTTACCCTTTCATTTAATGCCTTCCTTTTTAAAGGCTTGGAGAGCCGGGACGGATCTTGCGCTTTCGCTATACTAAACTGTTTGCACGTCCCCCGGTCTAACCAAAGATTCCGAGATTTTATGCGCCTATGACGGTGCTTTGCAAGCTTCTTGCCAACTAGCTATCATTTTGCTATTTCATCAAAGCGTCAGAGACTATATCTGCCTCAGGGCATTTTCTACACACACACACATCTTCAATTACGAAGGGTCAATGATAAGAAAGATCAATTGAAGTCGTTTATTTCCAGCACATACTTTTCACATAGGCTTGATGTTCATGAAATGCTCCAATTTCTATCCTGTCTCATTGAAAATATTGCATTATTGACTTTCCTCCAGAATATAGTATCTTGTTCCTCCCTACCTACGAGTTCAAAAAGAAGGCCATTTAGTACACTCTATTTTATTAAAAGACTTTCTAGTGCGTTTTGTTACATGTTTTCAATAGTTCATTTCACTATATCTCATTTTGAAATATTAATTAGAACAATACTTTGGTTCGTCTATTTCAAAAGTTGGGAAACCAGGTTACATTTACGAGGCAGTAGTATGACAGTGATGAGACACTTCAAACCTTTTAACTTGGTAGAGCTGTTCTTTCTGACTATCATTTAACCTTGACTGTATTTACGGGATTTTTCCATTTGTTTGTGGTCCTAGACACGCATTTCATTAAATTAATGGCTTTTTGCGCTAAATTGACCTTAATCCGTCTGACGATTTATTTGGAGGTCATATGGACTCTACCACTCTCGTTTTGATTTCTAGAAGCATTCCTAAACTCACCCACATCCTGGTCAAAGATAAGCAAACACGGATCATTGTTTTGAAGGAAAACTCAACTGGCAAGTGCCTTCTTGTCATCTATGATCAAAATGTGGTGAATGAAAACTATACTGTAATACTATTACATGATTCCTGAAGTAATTTAAAGTTGGTCCATATTGAAAGGCATATTTCTTTACAGATTGAAGCAACGAACGAATGTAATAATCAAAATGAGTCTGTTATAGCGCTGACCATACCAATGGAGAGAAGTGAACTTGGCATTCTTCCTGAACTTCAATTAATCCACTTGGATATACCACAAGAGCTCCAGCGGAAATTTATCGCTTTCCGCGTGGTGAATTACACTAATTTTAATGAAAATAGTTTTGAAGGTAAGTGCTAACAAGTTTACCCTGCCATGCACATTGTCTTAAACCTTTTCGAGCATCCTATTGACTGGCAAGATGAAAGGGAGGAGTTCAAGGGTCCATAAGGGTAAAAGAGACAGAACTTTTGTTTAAAATTTTAAGCGTGACACTATGATCACTTCTACCTTCAACGATTCCGCGTTGGTCTATTTTAACCTCATGTCAGACTGCGGGTTACCAAGTACTTCCTGAGTAACTGACCAGGTTGTTAGTTTAACCTACTACCAATACATTAGTAGGCACGTGCTTGTTAAATCTTAGTTCCAATGATCTGGAACCGGTAGTTGGGTACCTCCTAAATAAACCAACAGGAGGATTTTCGTGAATTAAATGTTACTTGGCTAAAAAAGAAGTTTCAATGGTTCTTGAAATTTCTCCATTTATTCGGTCGATGGCAATTAGGAGGCTATGTATTTAATAATTTGGTTAAAAATTATTAGAAACAGTGTAATTTCAAAAATATGAAGGAATAACATAGCTGAGAGCTAAGTCAATAAAGTTTTGACCTTTCTTGGAGAAATTCACTTTGGTGAGAGGCTGTACTAGTCCTTGTCACCAGTCCACATTGCCA